TATATATACATATACATACATACATACATACATACATACACACACACACATACATATCAGACTTTTACCCTTTAACTTAAACCAACTCTGACTCAAGTGACATCATTCGAGGTCATTTCAGCTTTCCCACAGCTCCCTCTGGAGCTTAGAAAAGCTCTGAACACCTTTTTTAATATGCAGTGGTGAAACACCTGTACATAAAGTTAAACTAACTCTAACCTGTAAAATCTGCTTGATATCCACCCTCAGAGTCTGGAGCCGAGGACCCTGGTTCCGGGCTGATATGACCAGCCGTCCAGGACAAGCGGTTAAAGTCAACGTTACCGTCAGTGTCAGGTGTCGGTGTAGTGATATACGGGAGCGGCTCTCCGGGGAAAGCAGCAGATTGAGGCCGAAGCTCCGCGAGACCCGGCGGGTTGGATCTGCGCTGATGTGGCTGCAGCGAGTCGTCGTCTTGTTTAATCCTCTCCCAAATGGTGGCGTCTGACTCTTGAAGTTGGTCAGCAGTGAAAACTTCCTCCCACTGTCCTAAACTTACCAAATGACTGACTTGAAACATGTGAAAATAGACAGCTGCAATAAATAAAATCGAAATGATTGTGTCTTTTCTTTGTTTGCAAGACATCGCTGGGTTGTCGATGCTTTTTGCTCACGTGCGCACAGAGGCGTCACCTGCACATGAGGGCGATCAATTAAGAGTCATCAACAATGGACCAATGAAAAAGCTACACAGGTGGGAAGGCTCAATAAGAAATGTTATAAACTTAGCCCAGCGGTAGAACAAGAATTCAGATCAGTATTCTGTCTAAAAAGTAGAGGTACTAATACAGAAAAATGTGACTTTTACAATATCATATATTATATCTTTAGATTATTATGACTCATGCACCGATGTAAAAGCAGGATTTAACTGTTGTAGATTGTTGAGGAACCATTAACTATTTTTTTCTTCATTATGGATTAATCAGATGATTATTTTCTTCATTAATCGGATGATTGTTTTTTAAAAATGGTGAGAACTGTAAGAAATGTCTCAATTACCCAGAGCCCAATTAACAATGCTGGTTTTGTTCAACCAGCAGTCCAAACCCTTAACATTATTAAAATAATTAAATTGTTGAAATAATTAAAGGAAAAAGCTGCAAGTCTTAACATTTTTGAATGAAAAATAACTTGATTATCAGAGTAGTTGCCAATTAATTTTCTGATATCTACGAAAAAAAAAAATCAGAATTTTCAAAATAACTAGCAACTACAGCTGTCAAATAGATGGGCCAGTAGAAGTGGAGTAAAAAGTACAATATTTCCCATAATAAAATACAAACAACATTTTATTGAAAACCAGCAGCCAATACTGAATCTGTTCTCTTTCATTCACAGACCGTCTCCATTTGGTATTTTCCAATTCGGTGAGAAGAGGTAAGAAGACCCCTGATGGTCCTTGGCATCTTGAAGAGTGAGTGGTTTTGTGCAAGGTGAAGGTAGCAGCTTGGATACAAAGTCTTAGATCAGTGGTTCCCAACCTTTTTAGCCTGTGGCCCTTACACAAAGCAATGTCTACAACCCCTCATCATATCTATCAATTCTGACTTGTGAATATTTCAGCCAAAGAGTGAATCATTTTTCAATGTTCTGATGAAATATCAAGTAGTTCGCCTGCAAAAAAGATTAGAGGAAAGTCTGAGAAAATAAGCATATATTTGCCAAGAGGAAGAAACATTTTTCTTCCTCTGTTAAACATCTTGCGCACCTCAGACTTATCTTACAACCACATGTGGTGTCCCCCCAGGTTGGGAACCACTGTCCTACGTCATAGTTTGAATGAAGAAGGAAATTGGCAGTTTAAGACCAACATGAGAAGTGAAAGGATAGATCTGCAGGTATGAGTCATGAGGTGGAGTTTCTTGGGTATTGTGTCACGGCAGATTTGCAATAGGCTGCATCAGGATGGACCAGCTTTAAGTCTTCATGTCCAGAGGCAACAAGAGTCTCTGGAATTACTCTGGAATAAACCCTGCGGTGACGGCTGTGGTAATTGATTGGATGTTATGAGGATATGCTGCGACAGCTCAAAAACAATCGAGCAGAGTTGGGAGCTGGGAATTGTACACCAAAGGGATTTGTATTGGGAAAATGTGTGCTGTGTAACAACTTCAGAACATAGGCTAGTTGCTGCTGGGTCATCCCTATGTTCCCAGATTCCTATGTTCTCAAGGGCCTAGTCTAGCCTAGTATTGAGTTTTGAGCAGGTGTCTCTTGATATAAGGCAACATTATCAGAAATTGGTAAGGGCTAACTTCACAGTTATAACGGCACAAAAAAGGGAGATTGATATTTCAAATGCAGTTTAAATGGTAGAAATAGCTCTTAGCCACTGGGAGATATATGTCAAGAAAAATGCCTTGCCCACAAATTTGGGGGCATAGGTTTTAAAGAGTATAACATCAGTAAGCTTTAGGTGGGTGATTTAAACATATTGACCCAAGGAAACATCCATTGAACATTTGATAATGGGCAAAAACATTGCTGACACCATATATCCCTTTGAAAGGTCTTAATGTGTCATAGAGGATATCCAGCAGGAGAACATGGGACCCTGAGAGCATTGATTCACTCCTGTTATTGCTTGTGGCCTCTGCGGGACTAATAGTGTAGGCTGCAGCTCATGAATATATAAAGAGAGCTGGATAGAGAGTTGGAGGTGGGACCCAGTTCATTCCTATTTAAGTTGCTCAGTGGCACATGAAACCACAACCACTCAACTGTCACGTATAGAATTACCCGAATGATCAGCACTGCGTCCATATCACTCGACTACTTCCAGCTTTTCATATGTTATTGGACCAAATGGATCAAAGTGTGATAGTAAAGTCATTTAGCATGAGTTGCAACATTAACTAAAGTGTATCCACTAATATACATGCTTCTCTTTCACAACGTAAGTCTGTTGGAAAGAATTCTTTTTGGGACCCATGGCATTTCGTGATGGACTTGGAAGTAGTGATCCCACTGTTTGGCCATGACAAAAATTGTCTACAAAGCCTGGTGTACTTCCTTGGGGCCTGGTACGACCACAATAGTGGCTTTGTGAAGTAGTTCTTTGAGATAAATGCTATCATCAGCATGCTAACATACTTGCAATGACAATGCTAACATCCTGATGCTAAGCAGGTAAAATTTTTGCTGTTCACCATCTTAGTGTATCATTTTAGCATGCTAAAATTCATTGATTAGTGCTAAACACACAACGTACAGCTGAGGCTGATGGGAATCTTGTTCGATTTGCAGGTAATTAGTTATAGACCAAAGTAATGGACCAACTGAAATTTAGACCAGATGGTGGCGCTAGATGAAAGTGGAGGATGGCCAAAGTTATCAGGATAAATTCTCAGCAAAACATGAATATCTGTACAAAATCTCATAGCAATTCATTAGGTAGCTGTGCATATTTAAGTCTGGAGCAAAATGGTCGACGATCTGACAGACTTACATAACCATTCCACCAGTATGGTGAAAAATGTATGGAAAAATGTAACAGAAGCTTCTTTATAAGTGATGTGTGAAAACTCTGATTTTCACTTTACAGCCTGCTGAAATGTTAAAGTGGATAAGTAATTCCTTTAAGGTTTGGTATAAACTCTGCAGGCAAAACACAAAAAACACCACAGCCAAAGTGAGAAATGAGATTATTGTCAGCATTTGTTCCTGAAAGATTTCACAATTTTAAATCAGGTCTTTTCAGGAGCAGGTACTTCTCTGTTGTCTTTCCAATGGACACCCACCGTACAATAAATGTTAGATTTTACTTTCTGCAGAGGCCCACATGTTGTGACGGGAATAGAAAACTCCAGTGACTCAGATCTGGTGTACGAGGAGAACCAGCACTGCTAAGCACCCACTCACCATTCACTGTGAGGATATGACAAACCATCAGGGGTCAGATATAATGGTTTCAATTTTGACTTCTATTCAGAGTTACTGCCAGGAAAAAATACATCCCCCTGTCCATTCCTGCACCCCATGACAATAATGCAGCGCTTACAATGATTTTCATCTCAGCAACAACATAATAAAAACAGAGACTTACACTAATGGCTCCATCAGCACCCAGCCAGTGTTGCACAAAGTTATGTAACACAGAGAACTTGGGAGAAGTGTATTCACTCTGAAAGAGATATTTGATTCAGTAGGTCTGATCCAAAGATGCTAGACTTTAGCAAAACCTAGCCCCAGTTTGGGTCTCTCGTTCTTTACAGCATCATTACATTCAAGACACAAAGCTAAGCATCCAATTTTCTAAAAAAAAAAAATATTGGGCAGTCCATTAAACAACATTTATTGCTGTCCTGAAAGTATTACCAGAATTCCCCAAACATTATTTTGACAAAATTGGAGTGAACCCCCCATAATAAATCCATAATAAAAGTAATCATTATTTGAAACACTATATAAAGTAATTAAACCTGGCTCCAAATGCTGCTTACACATAGAACCTGTTTACCCTTGATATTAAAGAAATACTTCACCCACAAAATGACCATTTTTATATCAATCGGTAGTGCCATGTTACCTTACATTCATGAAGAAAACGTATATTTTTCCCACGCCTCCATAGAAAATGGCGAACATATTGATTTATTGATTAATTGGGGACCACGTTTAACAACAGCAAAACTATATCAAACCATCCGTTCACAAACTCTATCACAAACTCATGCAGTATAATCCAAGTCTCATTTATCCAGTTGTATATTCAGTACTTCTCAAACACATGCATTTTCACTAAAAACCCTTAGTACTGGAGTCTGGCTTTAAAGAGAGCATAGAAAAGTTTCATTTTCAGTTCAATTTTAAATAGTGTTTTGGTTTTACCTGAGGGGAGGGGAGGATGGAAGAATTGTCGATCGATATGGTGAAACTGTGGGCTTTGGCTAGAGTGGATTTAGTGCAGATTAGTAACATTTCTGTTTTATCACTGTTTAATTTGAGGAAATTGCATGTGAACCAGGACTTTATTTCATGAAGGCAATCAGTAAGGAATGAGGGAGGGAGGGTGGAATCAGGTTTGGAGGAGATGTAGAGCTGGGTATCATCCGCGTAGCAATGGAAATTAATGTGGTTTTTATGGAAAATGTGACCAAGGGGGAGTAAGTAGATGATGAATAGCAGGGCCCTAGGACAGAGCCCTTGGGCACACCTGTGGAGACTGGGAGGGGGTGCGAGGTAAATGATTAACAGGTTCAACAGATTTGGTGTTAGTTTTGTGGACTGTTAAATAACTGCTGCTGTGTTCAGTGCGTCAGTACACACTGACCAGGCATATGTTGAGCTGAACATTCGCTGCTGAGGGGAGAGGCTCCGGGGACAGTCATTCAGGGCTGCATCTGCTGGTGGCGGTTCATAAGCAACGATGTCTGTGGATAAGTGGTCCTTCAGTGTGGCCCAAGACTGGAAGAATGTGACCATATGTGGCCCAGACCTGAGCCACAACCATCGGATAGCCTTGAAGATGCATGAGGTGAGAGCTGTCCACTTTTGATCTGATCACCCAGAGCGCATGTTAATGTCAGGTGTAAACAGGGCCATAGATGCATCAGTATTAATAATCTAATAATGTCAATCAAAGGGGGACATCTTACTACATTTAGTACTTTTAATTTGATACTTTAAGTACATTTTGCTTTGGTTATACCTACAAACTTTTACTTAAGCAACATTTTGAATGCCAAACTTTTCCTTGTAATGGAGTTGTTATATAGTGTGGTATTACTTGAGTAAAGGAGCTGAATACTTCTTCCACCACTGCTGTTACCTAATCCAAAACAAAGGTGGTACCTGGAATATTCAGTTTGTGCAACATGAACCCTAATTTTATAAGTTATTGTCAGTTATATTGATAGCCACTGTATCATGTTTAGTTCCAATATTAGATATGTTCATGTTAATATGTTGCATGTGTTTTACAAAAAGAAAAAAGACACTATGTTCTGCCTGGGTTAGATAATACAACAGAAAGTTGAGGGAAAAGGTTCAGAAGAGTCTTTAAGAGATTCTGGAAATACCCTCAGAACAGCAGCAAGTGTTGTTAAATGACCCTCTGGGTTTTTCAAAGATTGTCTTGAGTCTCTAAAGGTTGTTCAATCCATTGATGATGCTCAACAAACATCTGCAGGAGAGGGGAGCCTTCAGTGTAGATTCATGCCAAACCACAGAGAAAATACATTCCTCTTCCTGTTTTACCTCAATCACAGTATCTGTACATGCTGTACTTTCTCCGCTGTGTGCAGTGAGCTGTGTGGACGGACAGGGTATTTGATTAATGCCTCTGTATTATTTTACTGGCCACAGATGACCTGAGTGGGAGATATAATTCCTAATCCTGATGCGTTTTCAGGTTACTGAGTGAATCTGTACTGTCAACAAATGGGGGAGTGGTCGTCAAAGAGCAAAGGAAGCAATTATGGTATCTATCTTCATCCCACCTTCAGCAGGATAAAGCAGCCATTGTAGTACTGGGATCAGGACTTCCTCAGTCCATGTAGTCTTCACTGAGAGACCACAGCCTGAGGGGAGATAAGAAAGAGAATGAGGCCTGCTAGGAAAAGAAAAAGACCTTATACATAAATGTTCTTTTACTGTTTTTACACACTGCTTCGTTGTCGAAATAAGGAGACCCATAACTGCTCGGGCTTTCTCTCATCTCAGACTGGTGATAAAAGGCTTTACTAGATATGCACTGTCTGCCAAGTAATCCCCTAATAGCATGGTATCATTTGACTGCAGCAATAATAATACCTATTTGACAGTATCTGTGTAAAATATGACAGTTTGTGGTTTGTGTTTCTGGTGGCCACCATTAATAATGTAAGTTAACTTCATTGCTCACTCCTATCCCTTTGTGTTCAACAGAGGCTGGTGTACAGATGAAAAACGAATGTCTTATAGTCACCTTATGAGTTTATAAATGCCAGAAAAAGATTCCTACATGTATTATATGAAATATTTCCAATAGAAGATCAGACCACTGCATGTGTCATTAAACCACCTGAAAACACCCAGGATTTGAAAGTCAACACACTCATATATATTCTGGTCTTTTTCCACTATAAGTGTCAGTCTACATATCTCTACAGTCACATTTTAAATCCCAGTGTGCCTTTAAAATATTGAATAATATATCACAGAATTTGACTATTTAGAGCTTATGTAAGGGCACAATAAATGGGCCTATTATACATGCATGTGTGGAATGAGAACAGAGAGGGGAGAGACAAGTTTTAACATTTTATGACACAGCACATTTACTACATTTTTACTGAGTATGAAACCACTTTATGTGACTTGATATCTGTTTATTTGCAACCTAGTCTGTGCAGTTTATGTATGTTGTGTGTTTTGGATGTCTTATGAATCCTCGGGGAGTATCAGCTTCAACTGTAAAAATGGGTTTTGAAGAACAAACAACTAGACTGCACTCTGTGTGAGGTTTATCACAGGCTCTTCAGTAACTCAACATGGCTTTGGTTTAGAAAACGTCCACATTAGGATTAGTTACGATTTGTGCTCTGATGTTAAAACGCCAGTTTCATGTTTCAGCGAGTTTCGGATAGATTGAGCTTTTCCAAAACGATGACACGGGCCAGTCCAGACACCAGTAGAAAATGCCGTTATTTCCTATTTCTGCAAATCCCGGATGTGTTACATTTGTACATTTCATACTTGTCATATCAACATTTCTAAAGTGACATAGTATATGATGGATAGCGTGAAATCTTGTTGAGATGCCTGCTGAGCTGCAGACAATTGCAGACAGCTCTCCAAGACCAACAAATGACAAAACCAACTGCTTTTTAGCTTCTAAACATAGGTGTTTTTATCGACCTGTCACTGTGTTTCCAGCAAGGATAATGAAATGAAATGCAGTCGTTTTTTACTGAGACATCGCTGCATTTCTAGCAGGGATAATGCCCCAACAAAGGGGTATTGTAGGCTAACACATGATCCTTTCTTAACCAGAACCAAGGGTTTTTGGTGCCCAAATCTAACCACATGCTAAGCACAGCATTGCTGAATCATATAAAGACATAAAATTTAACTGTATCTGCTAAAATGTGTCATATCCGTGGTGTGCAGAAACACACAATGGCACAATTACTCTGGCCACTGGGTTGCGTAGGCCATTTCACTGAGGGTGAAGGACTGGGTGGCAGTGATGTAGACAACATTTAGTTTTTTTTGTGAATGAAAGATTTGAATGTCTCAGTGACAAAATTGTCCACATCTGGTTGCAGGATTCTGACTGTCATGATATCGAACAGTGAGAACCCTCTGTGGATCCCACCAGGTTCCCTGCACAGCTTCTTGTCCACTTAACACTGATTGTACATGTGTCGCTGTGGTGAGAGCAGAATCAGTGTAGTCACAGTGAATAATCTATCCAAGGCTTTACATTGATTTTAATTGCATCATTTGAAACCGCATCTACATGAGCCTATCGTTAATTTCACTTTTCACTTGCTTCAAAACGTGGCCATCAGAGTGTAACTGCTGTGGGAAAGATGAAGATGCACCTGGCATATGGGACACTGCTGTCTATTTCACTTTTTAATGTCCCATCTTTGAGAAGTCATTTTATGGGCTTAATGAACCCACAAGTGTTTGAAAGACATGCTTATGTGTCTAAATGTATATTTCGTATTCACAGGGAAAAGTTGTTGGGGCCAGTTTGTTACAAAGATAGGACAGCCAGGTGAGAAATTTCACTAAAATAAACCAGTTAGAAGCAGCCTGTGGGGAAGGTATTTAAAGAATAAAAAGAGGTGTTAAAAATCCATGTAACAATGAATGATTTAGAGGACTAGTCCTTTTTACGCACCGTTTGGAGTCAAAGGGGACAACCTGAAGCTGTTTGGACATTTCATTGAGGGGGAAAAAAAGTAGTCTAACTTTATGGGTGGGGCTTGGTAAGAGGAAAGAGAGGGAATGGAGAGGGAAAACAGAGTGATGTGTGTGCTGTGAATTCAAAGCTGGGTGGGTCTACACTGTTTCACATTCCCAAATAACTCCCGGGGCCGTGCGTTAAAGCACTTACAGGTAACGTTTATCCACGTTGTTTACAGTTTGTGAAGTTATGTTTTACAGACCATATGCTGTGAAATGCTTTAACGCATGATTTGTGACTTTTTTGGTTGTGTAGAGTCCAGAAAAGTTAACTTGAGATTTTCAGCAGCGCTTTGAAGAGTAGTGCGGATGTGACTGAGCGCAAAAAAGTTTTTAAAGGACACGCGGCTCCAAACTGTGTATATGAACGCAGAGTTAAACAGTCTGCAGTGTTTATATTTGGGTATATAAGTTAGAGGTGTGTTTATCATTGTTTTCCGTCGTCGTATTCTCGCGCTCTTTTCATATTTGTTGACTATAGTACAGGGCCTGTGTGTGTAACGGAGCGGCACCCATTTGGGAATGCCCTAACACCGTCTAAACAAATGCGCCTTTCTTGTCGACGGAAACAGACCAAAGCCGTGAAAATGAGTCGTTCAGCAAACGCAGACGTGTTTCTGGGCGCTGCAAATGGATGATAATTTATCTGAGCTGTCATATTATGGAAGATACGTGTTTAAGAAAACAATTTAAGATGTGAAACCATTAGTTATGTGTGACAGCAGATGTGTGTTATTCAAAACTGTGTCTGTCTGCGAGGCTTCTGGGGCGAGTTTGGGCTTGCATGCAACGGCTCTCTGTCACTATTGTTTTTTTCTGTCTGTTTGAGTAACAGTATTAATTTGGGACAGCTGTGTGAACTGATGCTTCCTCATGTAGACGACCAGCCTGTGTTACTGGAGTCCGTGCGTGGAAACAAAAATGATATGCATCCTTCCGCCTTTCCTCTTGTTATCAGTTTTCAGAAGGCCACGATGTTGATGCTGGCTGGAATCGTTGTTCTGCACATCACCACCATCATCCTGCTGCTGGTGACCACCATTGATAATGTAGGTGGATTATTATTCTTTATTGTTTTCCCATTTAACACACTGCCTGGTGCTCAGAGGAGGAACAAAAAACCAAAGGTTTTATATGAGCCAATAAATGCCCACCACAAGACTCTTAAAGCCCATACGTACAGGGGCGTAACACCAAATTCTGGACCCTGTGCATAAGCAGTCTCTGTGGCCCCCACCCCCCTCTTGAGCCATGTCTCTTTTGTGCTCACCTTTTTAATGTATTTATTTATTCATTTTTACAAATAATTGATCATTTAATACCACATGTAGGTACCCTAAAAAAATCAGTGATATGTGCTGAAGTCAGCACAGTTAAAAATCTCACTTTGCTCAACAAGATACTTCTACTATGGATTAATGAGGTATGCTTAAGAGAACAGTATGTATTTATTATTGATACCAAGGTATTATTCTCAAGGTAGAAGACTAAGTGAAAAAGACAGTACCGTGTTCATTTTCTAACCCCTATATTGAGAAAATTATAGCACTGGCTTTGGGCTAGTTTAAAAACTGAGCCTTCAAAAGACAGTAATGTAAATACCCAAGAGTCGAATGATAAAGCCTACATGTTTTTGCCGCCCACATTGTTGTAAATGTACAAACAGACATTCACAAGCTTTTATATAAGATTTAAAAAACAAACAGCCAACTTAATAAGACGTCACATAACAGGGTGTCTGCAGGTCCTTAAAGTCTTACAGTGTCTTAAATTCTTAAATATTTTGCCTTTAAGTCATTTAAAAGTCTTAAAAGTGAATTTCTGAGACCTTAATTGTCGCAAGCATGATCTAATTCCATGTATACGTCTTTTTGTCTAAATGAGTCAAGCTCTTCTATGTGAAATTCCACGTTTTTGATGTTACGAACCTTTAAACCTACCACTGAACCCATTTTTACTTCTGCTTGCACTTACCTTTAGACAGAATTTAGATTAGCCTAACTGTCCATAATAACCACATTCATCCATAACACCTTCCTCTGCATAGAACCACAATCTTTATATAAACTATTTACCTTTATATTTACCTCCACTGGTGGAGTAAGAGGATATTTCAATCAAAAGATCTGTGTCAACTATCATGAAACTGTTCTTTAAAAAGCATTAAACTTAAGTTTCTGATACCTGTAGACAGCCTGTATAATGGGACACTTAATAGTACAAATTTAAACATTTGCTAACTTGTAGTAAATATTTAATTACTTGTGATGTAACTATTGTATGTGTCTGGGCATTCTTGATATCTGTGTTTATTCTCATCGTCCTGTGTGTCTTCAGGCCTGGTGGGTCACTAATACAGTGTCAACTGACCTGTGGGGCAGGTGGGAGTTGATGGGCTCAGCCTGGCATTACACCAACCTGAAAGAAGGTTACCCAGACGGTAAAGTCTGTATACGTTAATTTTATCTAAGATGCAGAAACAGAAAGAAGCTGGTTAGGTGGATTGTAACTGATCAGAAAATGTCAGTATATGTCTACAGTATGTTCATAAATTATCAGTAATTATTTTCTGAATGTTAGTGGTATAACTAGAGCAGTTAGAATGCAGATATAATTGTGTTTCAAGGTGAACACTGCCTTGTATTTGTGTTGTTGAGGATCCTTCACTGACTGTGTGTCTGCTTTGTCGTCCTGCTGCTGCAGAATATCTCCAGGCGGTGCAGGCCACCTCAGTGCTGGCCTGTATTTTTACCATTCTGGCCTTGTTTGTGTTTGTGGCTCAGCTGTTCACCCTGCCCAAGGGCCAGAGGTTCACCTTCACCGGCGTTTTACAGCTAATCGCCTGTAAGTAACCCAAAGTCAAAAGTCTGACCTGCAGCTGCTGAAATATTGATTTACTTTCTTGCTTCCTGTAGCTGAGATTCTTACTGCTCTATAGAGGATGTGTGCTGAGTAACTCTAAAAGTGTTTTTTATACTTGAATTTCTTTGTAACTGTAGATAATTTTATTTGATAGGACTGAGCGTCAAACACTTAGCTTCAAACAGTACAACATATTAAAACGCATCCATTTCTCTCAGGGGAGGTGAGGAAGAGTGGAGCAAAAACAAAAAGTCAAGATGTATTATTATTATTATGAAAGCAACTGTGTGTTACAAGTAAATTAAAATTAAAAATGCTGCTTAAGTAAAAGTATGTGAGAAGAGCAGAGCCGCAGCATGTTCAGATAGTGCACAGTGATTTTCATTGCAGTCCAGGTTTGAGAGTCTGCAAGTTTAAACTACCATAAAAACTCCATCAGCTGAGTTGACCTGTTAATCTGCAGAGTCTCGGACCTCAGGGTCACATGATTGAAAGTCACTGCAGTGAAGTATAACTGTCGTCGTGTTTGGATTCATCTTCTCAAACTTCAGCCTTCCTGTCTCTAATGTCACCCTGAGATGGTATTTTCAGAACACTCAAATGTGGCTGAAACCAAATTATATATTTTGAGGTGAGAGACTGTTTGTATAACAGGGGCAGAGAAATGGGTGCTCAAAAATCTGTGAAGTTATTGTCTGGAAGGTTTTTTGCACATTAACTAATACAGACTGCAACTCACTATTATTTTAATCTAATGATCATATTCTTGATTAATTGATAAGTTGTTTTTCCAATAAAATGTCAGGAAATAGTGAAATGGTGTTTCCCAAAGCCTGAGGTGACATTCTCAAATGTCTGACTGTCCACAACCCAAAGATATTCAGTTTACTGTCATAGAGGAGTGAAGAAGCTACCAAATATTTACATTCAAGAATCTGGAATCAGACAATTTTGTCTTTCTCTCTTAAGAAATTACTCAAATCGATGGGTGGCTATTATCTTATTACCTCACAGCAAGGGTTCCTGGTTCGAACCCAGGGTGGGGAAGTCCTTCTCCCCATGTTAGCGTGGGTTTTCTCACACAGTCCAAATACATGCAGGTTAATTGGTGACTCTAAATTGGCCGTAGGTGTTCATGATGAGCGGCTACAGAAAATGAATGAATGAAAGGATTAATCAGTTATCAAAGTAGTTGGTAATGATTGAATGAATGAATGAATGAATGAATGAATGAAAGGATTAATCAATTATCAAAGTAGTTGGTAATGAATGAATGAAAGGATTAATCAGTTATCAAAGTAGCTGGTAATGAATGAATGAAAGGATTAATCAATTATCAAAGTAGTTGGTAATGAATGAATGAAAGGATTAATCAATTATCAAAGTAGCTGGTAATGAATGAAAGAAAGGATTAATCAATTATCAAAGTAACTGGTAATGAATGAAAGAAAGGATTACTCAATTATCAAAGTAGCTGGTGATTAATTGTTGTTGACAACTAATTGATTAATCATTGCAGCTCTAGCTGCAACTAACAATTTCATCATGGACAAAATGAATTTCTTCATTTTACTCATAAAAGAAAAAAACAGTACATGTTCTGATTTCATGAACTGAGACAGGGATTTTTTTTTAAATTTTTGCTTTCGATCTACTAATATATCATTTATTATTATTTACTAGAGTATTCAAAACCAAGCGGTAAAGTCATATTCATAACCCTGAATCATGTACAGTCCGTTATCTTATAATAAGAAATGATCTCATGCTGTGCCAGATTTTGGTAAAACCGAACGTGTTCATGTCGACAGAAGGTCTGTGAGCTACACTAATTTCTGTGTCACATGAATACAATTAACTAAAGAGAGCCAATTATGGATTATCTTTGGCACTGCTACTGGTACATAAAAAAACTTATAGAATTCATAAGTAATGGGATTTTAACATGTGTGTTTAACATGTGTTGTCATGATTATATGATTGGTGATTTATATGATTGGGAAATCAGCAAGGTGAAACTGTCATGATTCTCATTTCATTGTGATTGCAATGGAACTGTCTGCTACACTGTCCTTGTTCATGAGCCTTATCTCATAATAGAAAAAGTAATTACTTCTTAATTGCCTTGTCTGGGTGTATGTGACAATATTCCCCTTTCCTCTCCTTCAGGCCTGTGTATAATGATAGCAGCTTCCATCTACACGGCCGAGCTTCACACCAGTGACAAGGAGGGAGGGTACGGACACTCCTATGTCCTGGCCTGGATCTCTTTTGTCCTCACCTTCATCTTAGCGATCACCTACCTCGTCCTACGGAAGAAGAGCGAGTGAGAGGATAAAAGGAATGAGGGCAGGCCTGGGATCATATTGCCAGTTTGAATTTGGGAAATTAAAGAATAGGATTTGTTTCAAAAATTGGAGAAAAAAAAAAAACTTAACATTGTTGATCTACGTCTGTAGCGGGGAAGATGGGGAGGGGGGAGTTAATGTTGAATTGCTTACAAGAGCCATTTGTTTATATTTTGATTATTATAAATTGAAATGAAACTCGTGCTTACAATACATGAAGGGCTGAACTTGACCATTCTGCTTCTTAGATGTCTATATGATTAGAAGAGAGAGGAGGGCAGGGCAATGTTTTATCCATGAGTAGGACAGTGTGGGCTACAACTTGATGGTTGTGGTTAGGAGGGCGCAACCTTTACAAGTGCTTATTTCATAGCAGTATAACCATGAAGTAGTTAATAAATCAATTGTTTTTTGATAGGTAGTTACATGTAGTTTGGGAGAACTGTCCATATCCATTAGTTCTGTACAGGGATAGTTTGACATTTTGAGAAATAGAGTTAGGTTCATGAGAGGACAGATGCCAGTCTTACATCTGTATGATAAGTATGAAGCTACTGCCAGCAGCTGGCAGCTAAAAACCAAAGGGCAAAAATGACAAGTTGCAGTTTCAGGCAACTATTGGCTGAGTGGTGATTTAAAGATGTAGTGCGCAGGATCTAGGGGTGAGGTTGCAACATTTCAACCAGCTGAAGCGAAAATGCGAATGGCTCCATCTAGAGTGAATGTTTGGTTTGTCTATTCTGGGCTACTGTAGAGACAACATGGCAGACTCATACCCCTTATCCACCAACATGGAACCAGTTCTGTTCAGGTTCCTGAACCTAATTTTGAAGCTCAGAGCTCTTCAGCCAAAAATAAACTGGCCTCAGAACCTGAGGAGTTGGTTCTCAGCTTGAACTGAAAAATAGTGAGTTTTCCTTGACCTGAAGTGCTAACCGTGATGACATCAGAGGGTGTGTCATATTCTACAGGTTGGAAAGAGGATTAAGAAGGCAACAATGGAAAAGTCGAGTAAGAAATCATTGGGAATAACAGAGCAAAAGCTTGCAGATAATCAATGTAATATGCAATTTTGCGACTCTTAACTTCCGTTGCGCATTGTGCAATGACCTCCATTGATGACATCCTTGATTACAATTCTGGTGGAAACGTGGGCTGGCTTGGTAGATAACACTGAGGCTTAAAGAATCCTGAACACATCCAGTTCAAGAACCAGAGTTAATTTGGTGGAACAGGGGTATCACTGGAAGTGGCCCTGCTCTATGTGTTAACATAAAGGGCTCATTCTAGGTTTAGGATAGACAATTCTTAGTTTGAGGTGATAATAAACTAATGACAACATAGTTCTGAAGATTATGATGCATTTATGCCAAAATATCCCCCTAAATCCTCGACACTGGACCTTTAAAGAAAAGGAGAGGTTTGTGAGCTGTAGAAGTGCTGGTTTATTGATAACAGCAAGGCTAGCTGTTTCCCAGTTTGCAGTCTTTGGTTCAAGCTAAGCTAACCAGCAGCTGAAGGTAGCTTCGTGTTTACCGTACAGGCATGAGAGTGGTATTAATCCTCCCCCTATCTGCAAGAAAGAGATTATTATTTCCAAAAATGTCAAACTATTTCTTTAAGATTATAACAAACTGAACGTGTGGGAGGAGGAAAGTGCAAGAAAAAGCCCTTTTGAGATTTACTCGTTAAAAATACTCTGTGAGATCAAAGAACTTCTCATCCTGTATAATCCCGCTGTGAGGCTGACAGTTACTACTGCAGGTTTCCAGAGTGGAGGAGTGAAAAAATACTGTATCTGTGAAGGTACGGCATGTTGGCAAAACTAAAACATTCCTGTTGCAGTACTTGAACAATCAGGAGAGACAAGCCTTAATATACAAGTAGTTTTAATCATGTATCCTCATTTTACAACTGAAGTATAGTGTATCCTTTTTTAATCTATGTACATTTTAACCTTTATATTTTTGTAACATTTTGTATTGAGTGTTGTTTTTTAGCCATGTTTGATTTTGTCTGTAGTTGGCTGCTATCATAAGAAAAGTACATGCAGTGTGTACAAGTGAACATATAGTGAACCAGGGATGGAAGACAATGGTGTTTCATTTCACCATAAATCAAAACTATGCAATAGAAGGTTTTCTTTGTAATTACATTGGAATTTAAGCCATATCATTTATTAATAAAACAAATTGTAACACAAAGCGTTCACGTTTCATCTATTAAACTGATGTTAATGCAACTAAAGTCAGTTACATGATAAATATGAATTGGTCCAGTTATGTAGCGTTCACTGAAGAGCACACATGATTTAAGTTAGCATCCTGACAAAAAAGGACAACACACAGAACTAGAAAATACTTCTTACTATTATTACTTTACTATTTTTAAATCGGTGTGACTTCACTTAATAAGGACAAAGTTTCATATTGCGAGCATTTCTCTGAGTCCAAGTTACAACATTGAGACAGCACGTCTTGAGGCCTTACAACAGACCCAGTCAGAAACAGGAATGTTCCATTATATAAAGTATCGTTCCCAGAGGAAGTGAGTAAAAACTTGACTGAACTAAATGCCTTGGCCAGACGGCGTGATGCGCTCCTGAACCACCAGGTGGAGAAGATGATTCTGCTCTGCAGTCAGAAACGGCCTGAGGGGAGAAAAACACAAACACATAATCAATATGGAAAATTAAGACTGAGAAGCAATAAAAATGCTGCTCAATCCCCATCACATGACGGAAATGAAGACTTTTGAATGCTCACCATAGCTCAGTCTGAAGAGACTTGAGGGACTCTGTGTCTTTCTCCTGACACGCCATCTGCAAAACAGATTTGCTGTTATACGCGGTACAAATAAAACCATAACTGCAGATTCAGATGACCTTGACATTCACAGAGTTTTGTCAATGTTTATGCTCATTTATTACTCTTGCGGAGAGAGTCTGTTCATGCACAACAAGTTGCATTAAAGAATCTGTTATTGAAGTCATGAATAAACATCAATCAGGAACTGTGAATGTTGATTGCCCCGTATTAGAAGACACTGACACCACTGCAAATGTTTAATATAGGGGGAAAAAAACATTCCATTGTCACAGGAAGATGAACCCAAGCACATTTATCTCTACCATCATTTTTTTCCTGTATGAGGCAGGAAGGATACGGAAATCCTGTGAACTGTACAAGTATGTGGATGATTAAACTCACCACTACGGACTGCAGGAGCAGGAAAACATTCTCAGGCAGGAAGGTCACTGAAGGAGAGGACAAGAGCCGTGTTTACACCACTTCAAATAAAAGTCACTCAGAGGATTCATGATCTACATTCCCAATGAAAAGACAACGTATATATAATTCAGAGATAATAGGAAAATATTGAGATGCTTTTACCTTGGCTGTGAGGGTCAAAAGATTCCCATGCGTATCTCTCCAGAGTCTGAGCATGTTCTGGCAACAGCTTCTGTGGTGGGGGCTGGACAGGAAAACCGATGTTGAACCATTAAACCGCTGCTGCACCAATAAGTAATGTAGAGAGTGTGGGAATAGTAATCAATACTGTGATAGACTATGAGTACTCCTGGCATCAGTAAAGCAAGGTTTTCTGTCGCCCTGCTGATGTGGAGGTGGTTCCTTCTTTGAATGCTACAAATGTTACTTGTGTTTTCTGGCAGTTCACCCTTTGGCCAGTTGATGGCTGTTTGACACTCAAGTACTGGCAGGTGTTCAACTTGCTGTGTATCTGTGGTAAAAATACTTTGCACAGGGTACACAGTGTTCATACAACTACCTATAAAACTTTGTCCAAAAGTGAAGTGGAAAACACAGAACTTGTTTGATTCAAACTTTCTATAACACGATTCTGACTTATTGAATCTGTATTTTTCCACTTCAGTTACAGATATTGATTTAGATGTTTTTTTTGCATTGTCTTGGGTTATATAACCCTGATTCCAGAAAAGTTGAGAAGCTGCGAAAAACGTCAACAAAAGGAGAATGCTAATCATTTTCAAACTTTTTGATTGCATACAGTACAAAGACAAGATATATTATGTTCGAACTGATCAACTTTGTCTCTTGTAAATATACACTCATTCTGAGTTTGATACCAGTAACATGTTTCAAAAGAGTTGGGGCAGGGCAAACAAAAGACTGGGAAAGTTGTGAAATTTTCCGAAAACACCCGGGACATTTCAGAGGTAAACACGTTAATGGGTAACATTGGCGATTGTATCATGATTGGATATGAAAGAGGCATTCAGAAAGGCTCAGTTGTTTACAAGCAGGGACGGCGATATGTTCATGACTTTCTAAAGAACTGCGTGAGCAAACAGTCCAACAGTTTAAGAATGTGCCTCAATGCAATTGCGAAAAAAAAAAAAAAAGATTTTACCATCTATAATCCATAATATCATCAAAAGTTTCAGAGAATCTGGAGAAATCTCTGCACGTCAGAGGCAAGGCTGAATGAATGCTGAAAAGTACATTCAAGTTTTGAAGCAACAAATAGTGCCACACAGACGATGTCTTTGGACGTTTCTGCTGATTCCAGCGACACAATGCCAAGCTACATTCTGCACGTGTTTAACAGTGTCTCTTCATGGTAAAACAGTGCAGGTACTAGACTGGCCTGCCTGCAATTCGGACCTGTCTCCCATTGAACATGCGTGGTGCATTGTGAAGCGCAAAATACGACAACCGAAACTGGACTGAATGGGAAAGAATTTCACTTTAAAAATGTCAACAATTAGTGTTCTCAGTTACCAAACGTTACTGAGTGTTGAAAGAAAAGATGATGTAACACAGAGCTAAACATGCCGCTCTCCCAGCTTTTTGGGAACATGTGCAGGCATCAAATTCAGAATGAGTGTTTATTTACAAAAAACAAAGTTGGTCAGTTCGAACATTAAATATCTCGTCTTTGTCCTGTATTCAATTGAATATATGTTGACATGGATTGAAAATAATTGCATTCTTTTCATATTTACATCTTGCACAGCATCCCAGCTCTTCTGGACGTGGGGCTGTATATAAAATCAACGTGCTTACCTCAAGCAGCATCAGCAGTAGTACTCTGGAGATCTCACATTTTGCCACAATGTCCAGAAATGCACCTTTTTTCCCCCAGAAAAATGAAGATACAGAAAAGAAATGAAGATAAAATTCGATCCTGGTTTCTTTTTCTTCTGTTCTCAGCATTAAAATGTTTTTATGGCTACATTTTGTTTTTGTTTTTTTTTTTTGGACATATTGTAATCAGCCTCAATTTAGAAAATTGTGTGACTGTGGACTGATTCATACATAACATTATTTCAAACAGGTAGTGTCTGTAGGCCTCACCAACAGGGGTGCTGATGCCTGGAAGCTGCAGTCCTCTCTCGTGACACATCAGCTGCATCTCTGTGAACACTGACAGAGCACCATCATAGTCACCTGCAAAGACAAAAGAGACATGCAAGCTTCAAATCATTTACGGATATAAAACATACATTATCTACATATTGGGTGCAAATGGACAGACTGAACTCACGGGTGAGAATTTTACACGTGGCCATCTCTCCCATTGACAGCAGAGCTTCAATTGGCGTCTGTGTCTGCAACTCTGCAGCCCTCTGGTAATGAACGATAGCCTCTCCTGGTCTGTTCATCTCCTATCGAAACCAGAGGAGGAGCTGAGATTAACATGTCATTTGGATAACAGTATATCAAGTTAAAATCAAAGCAAAGATCAAGATAATTTATCTGTTAGGACAGCCTGAAGCTCTGATCCAAAGTTTTACCTTGAGCGCGTTGCCAAGTTCTAGACACAGGCTGGCTGCCATCACAGGCTGGTTCATCTCAATGTGCACCTGCAAGCCATTTGTACATCAGCATTATCTGATGGTCTCAATAGAAATGTGGAAACAATACAGAAATCTACTCCAAATTCTATTCTGCAAAACCTTAATCTGCAAAAATATTGCATGACTTAATTCACATGAAATGCACTACTAGTTTAAATTCCCAGATAATATTAGAGCTGTTAATTCAAGCACTAAAAAACAGAAATCCTAATGTACCTTGATGGCAAAACTGTAACAGTTGAGTGCAGCCTGAAGGTGCTCATCAAAGCCCGGGGCCTGCAGCGCCCTATTCTCCTTCTCAGATGATAGAAAGAGGCGGGCGGCGTCAGTTAATGCCAGAGCCTCTCCAGGTGCGTTAAAAAGAGTCTGCTCGCACCTGCAGTCAAGACATTCAGACTGTGTAACTAAGACAGATGCACCATTGAACACATCAAACAGTTAAAATGTCATTACTTTGAATGATACCAGCTCCCACTGGGGCAACCACCATCATCTCTGATGACCTGTGGTGGTTTATTGTATGAGACATGGATAACTAAAGAGGAGTCATCACTCACTGGACTGTACATTTATGAGACCATCTGACCAAGTGATTTATAAATCACTGAAAATATAGCAGCAACAAACAAAACAGACCATAAAGAACAAACATGGTATGATGTGCCTGATGTGGGTGGAGAACTGACAAATGACTTAATTAATGCACAGGTAATGTAGTGCATTTTTGATGACTTTGTTCAAGCCCTAAAGTGTGATGAACACGGTTTAAAAAAAAGCCATTACTTGAGAAAGTACAGTACCTGAACATTACACCCATATGTGACTGCTGAACATCTCATTCCAAAGACAAGGGCATTAATACATTTCTACTGCCTCCCATCCTCTGGGAATGCAATACACAAAACTGCGCCTTTTCAGAGACAAGAACATTAATGAGGTTGGTCAGTGATGTTGCGTGATAAGGTCTGGTTCACAGTTGGAATGTCTCAGAGATGTTGGATGGGGTTGATGTCAGCGCTTTGTGCAAGACAGTAAAGCTTTTCCTTTAAAGCTTGGGAAAACCATTTCTTTACGGACCTTGCTTGAGGGCAAACACAGAAAAGGGTCTTTCCCACATTGCTGCCACAAAATTGGAATCAGGCTACTATGTAAAGCTTATTGTATGTTGTAGCATAAACATTTCCCTTAGTTGCAGCTAAGGGGTCGAGCCCAAACACTGAAAAAGCTGCACAAAAGTTTGTGGATAAAGGTGGCCATGGAGTATATATTGTATTGTGTTAGACACTGGGATGGTTCAGGTTACTAGGGTGCAAAAGGTATAAATCCAGTGGTGGAATGTAACTAAGTACATTTGCTCAAGTACTGTACACAAGTACAAAATCAAAGTACTTGTACTTTACTAAAGGTTTTACATTTTTTGTAACCTTATACGTCCACTGTACTACATCTCACAGGTAAACATTGTGCTTTTCACTCCACTACATTTGTCCGACAGCTTTAGCTACTTTTCAGATTACAAATTTTCATCCCCTAACTGTCAAGTGAAAAACACATATCTCCTGGTGAGATAAACTGAGGGAAGAATGTGTGCAGAAAATTCTCCTACTCCTTAAGCTAAATAAACTTTTTAAAAACCCTTTTGGATCAACTGGAAAATGTATCATCACAAAGTTATTCTTCTGGGCTCATTAAAAGTTTTTTAGAGATAAGTAGTTCTCACAAGACAGCCATGCTACAAACATGATGCTCTTATGGAATATGATGCATAGCTGTGGATTAAACTACCCCACAGTATATAAAGGAGTTAAAATTAGCAAACCTAAACATCTACAGCAGTAAAATGCAAAACATATTTTAAGGCAGCACTAATATTAATCCAAAAACTTCATGTATAATTGTTATAACACTGACAGAGAAGACTTTACTGCACAAGTACTTTTCCCTTACATAGAGTATATATTGCTGATAACACTTACATACTTAAGTAAGGTTTTAAAGAGTTAAAGACTTATAGTAGAGTATTTTAACAGTGTGGTTTTAGTATGTTTCCTTTCATCACTGTTTAAGAGTCCACTCACCTGGCCATGGCCAGGTTACAGAAGGCAGCATACTGGAGGCAGTCCTGCTGCTTCAGCTCTTTGGCTAACTGACCTAAAACAAGGAAATACATGTGAGTCAGACTTAAAAGAAACAGTTTGATGACATGTGTTCTCTATAACATGGAGGATACTGAGGACAAAGGCTGGAGGAGATGTTTAACAATGAGGGTAGCGTCAGGTTGAGCAGAGACAGACTGGTACTTACCAAACTGCTCACTCGCCTCTGCTACATTGGGCTTCCGTAGAAAACGTCTGCGACAAGGAAAGACAAGCCTTTCAGTTTTCTAAAACATCACAATTAACGCTAGCTAGTTGGCAAGCCACAGTGAACACACTTCAATTAACTGTTCAGATGCTAAACACAAGAATGGATGCATTAGTGTTAGCGACTGAAGCAAGCTAAATTACACGTTAGCTGTAACACATCACTAACTACTTTAATGAACCTGAACTATACAAATAAAATCTACCATTATGATATCTGCATTACTACATTACATGCACAAAAAGGTACGGTATGTTAATGATTGTCATGTGACAATGACAGTAATGTCAGTGACGGAAGCTAGCTATCTGTTAGCTTAGCCTAGCATAATAGCTCTAGCTGTATAACTTATCGGTACATTTTTGTCAAGTGACGTAACGCTAACCCTGACAATCAGTCCTGTTTCCATGTGAACCAATACACCGCATCGCCTTACTTTTTCAGTTTATTTGACACAGCGCGGTATCTCGCCAGAAAATCACCCTCTGCAGCCATGATCAGTGCTAATGAATACAACAAACCGAAGCAGGAAGTCCAGATGACAGGAGCGTTGCTATTGGCTCGTAGAATCCATAGCTCGCAATTTCATTGGTCAGGGTGGCGCTTAATAGGAGGAAATGCCCAAATGAGGAAATATGCTACAGAAACACAGACAGCAGAGGCAGGTGACAGAATTATTTATTACTTTATTTATTAATTCAATTTATGTTGTAGATCTCTGAGGTACTTATGGTATTTTATACTTTCACTACAACATATTTCAGAGGGAAACACTGCACTTTTTAAAATTTATTGTAGATTTTATTCCACTACATTTATCAGGCAGCTGTAATTACTATATGCTTTTCAGAATCATATTTTAAACATATAATGCATAGTAATACAGAAAATGTCACCCCCAACAATAAATTCAATAGTTAGTATTCTCTCCACCACAGCCAGCTACAACATTACAATGTTAATGCATCCATAGTATTAATGTAATAAATTACGCTTTAAGAATGATAAAGGTCATTTTGCCTGCATAATGATTACTTTAGCATTTACTCTTTGAGGATATGTTTGCTGATAATGCTCTTGTATTTTTACTTGAAAAACATGTTCATGTAACAGTATTTTAACATTTTGGTTTTGTGACTTTTACTTTGAAAGAATCTGGTAGCAGGTAAAAATGACACAGCAATGCAAACTGAGATCATCTAAGTCATAAACACTGTATCACAATCTGCTGATAAAAGTTTATTTGTGATTCAAAAGTTTTCATAGACAGACTCAAATACACCTTCTTGCTGGTCTTGTGTGGATTGTGCCATCTGTGGGGGAAGTAGAACACAGGTCACTGTCTGCATGTTTCATTGTTTTCCACTGATAAAAGAAAAAGTGACGGAGCACCTGAAGTGCACACTGACCGTTTCTTTGGGTTCTTTTATCTTGGGTTTAGCTTTGCTTTGGCCTGGCATCCTGTTAGCAGCCGAGAGATCCAGCACATCATAAATGGACCTGGGCCGAGTCTCTAGACTCTGAGAAGATTATACATGTGAAAAAAATTAAAATATGGATGCAGAGCATACAGGGAACAACAATGAAGTGGCACAATTTAATTCAAGTGAAATATATATGGATGAGTAGAAAGGTGCTTACAGCATAGAAAGAGTTGGACGAAGATGTTATTGCATTGACGTTGTCTTCCTCCGTTTCGCTCTCCTTCATTTTTTCTCTGTTCTGCTTTCGTTTTCTGACAGTGTCACCACCTTCAGTGATGGGTTCTTTCTAAACAACAAAAAAGGCGATTAAAAAAAAGTAAAACAACTGGATGAGGCACATGAGGGTTTTCCTCTGGAGTAGCAACTTCCTCTCTAGTTTTGTATCTTTTGACAGGACTCAGAGTTAACTAAATGCTTGAATGAAATGCTTTACACTTAATAATCTGGGTTTATAGCAGGAAAGACCTGCCTTTAGACTTGTGCTATAAAAACACTACAGTCACTGACAGGATGAGGCAACATTGAGTGTTTTTGAGTAACACAAAGTAGTTCCTGTCCTCCAGATAGGACACCAGACCAGACCAGTTTTCCAGTCTGACTACCTGTATTGTACAGTCAACCGTGTCAAAGGGAGGTTACTTAGTTGTTGGTATACAGCCTTTTCAGTGATCTTATTCAAAAAGTGTAGACTTGATAGGATTGTGATTGTGATTATTACAGGCTGATCTATATTAAGTAGAGGCTTGATGACAACTATCGAATTGTTGCAAATAATTATTATTTTTGGGTCGATCAACTAAATATAATTTGAATATTTAAAAGACTCAGTTTCATCTAGAGCATCAGAAACTAATCTACAACATGGCCTGTCAGTTTCATCATATCCCTCAGACTAAAGCAACATTCTTCCATTGCAACATGCATGTTTCTCAATGTCTGCCAAGCCATGAGCAGGGCTAAACTTACCCCACGTTCTCTGAAGACAATCACTGAGCCGACTACACTGACAACCAGCAGCAGGCCAGTAATGATGGCGACTATGTAGAATTGTGTGTAATCCCGTATTTCACTGTAGCCTTCTCCTGAAAAACATCCACCATGTAATGTCAGTCTGTGCAGGGATATTGCAGGACTTTTTGTATCTTTTGTATTTCAATAAAAACTGAATACACTGTCAGTTTCGGTATTAGTCTAATTATTAGACTAATGCTGACATTTTTTTTTTTGCAAAGAACGCAAAACTATTAAAGAGATAATAAAGATAAACATATATTTATGTTACACAAAATTATGTGTATTTTATTTCTTTTTTTAATTATACGTTTATTTTGTCTTGGAATATATACTATATTTTCTTCTTTCTGGGGGCTCTAACTATCCTTTAAATGAAATCATCAGTTGGTTGAGCTGCTCACAGTTCATGCCCTGTCACAATGAAGACCTATTTAAAACCAGCAAATTCCACAACATTGCCTCTTTAGGCATTACAGTGAGAAGCTAACTTGTTAGCAAACACTGTGTAAATAAGTGACCTAAAACCTTATTCAACAGTTTATGTGTCCTTATGCCAAACAGGTCCTGTGTTGACACCAAGCAGTTGGGAATGGAGCTGGGCTTTGAAGCTAATATATAAAAAATTACAACTTTGGGTCTGTCATGTGATGCCACTGAGCCCAAAAAGACTTTTTTTTTTTCTTTTTGAGGTACAGTCAACTTCCCAGTATGAAAACTTAAAACAGCCCCTGGTAAAAACATTTTGTCCTAAAAGTTGTACATTTCACTAAAAGCCGAATCCAGAGGTATTTTCCTACTATCATACATGTATGCACTTTTGACAGATTTAGGGGTTAAAGGAAAGCTAGTGCGCTTGCCCTATGGGCCCTAAGGATGCAGAAGACCTGGGTAATTTCATACCCGGAATTAGAACTTTTTGGTTTTATTTGCCACTGAGCAACTTTCGTAAGAATGAACAGGGCCCCGCCTCCAATGCTGTATCCAGTTCTCTTTACACATCTTCAGCTGATACTTCCATAAATACGTCTTCTAAAGGCTGTACTTCCTTCCTTTCAATCAAGTGTTGCCCACAACGGTTCTAGGCAAATTTATCTTCAATTAATGTAAAAAAAAGTAACTTTTATACTTTTAATATTTTTCATACTATGCCACAGTGCTGCGAGACAGAAAATGACGAGGAGCAAACCTGCCCCACATCCAGTGGTTCTTCACTGTAAAGCAGCAAAAATGGTTGTGGACAGTTATTTACAGAGAGCTCACACCTTGTTATCACCTCAAAGTTAAAGATCTCATACAAAGACAGAACTGAAGAAATGTATTAAAGGTCCAGTTTGTAGGATTTAGCGGGATATATTGGCAGACATCGAAATAATAACTATGTTTCCTTTAATGTAGAATCGTCTAAAAATAAGAATCATGGTGTTTTCGTTGTCTTAGAATGAGACGTTTATATCTACAGAGGGAGCGGGTCCTCTTCTTTGGAGATCACCATGTTGCTCCACCATGTTTCCACAGTAGCGCAGAATGGACAAACCACTGGTTTTAGATAGGGCTCTTTGCATTTTTGAGTCAGTCACCATGGTTAGAAGCCCCTCCTTGACAAGCAGCATTGGAAAAACGCTGATTTTTTTTTAATGTGAAACTGCTTTAATCAGTGTTTTTACCGGTTTAATACCACTAAATCCCCCTAAATCTGACACACTGGACCTTTAAATCTGGTAACTGCTTCGTTACTACCTTAAAAATCTATTTCAGTTCCATCTTTGAGTCACATTAATATCTTTTCATACTCACTTCTCACTCGAAGAAACCAGTACACGTTCTCAGTACCATATCTGCAGCTGTATTCTCCTGAAAGGCTCAGATTTTTTGGCTCCAAAATCAGGTTGAGATTTTGTGGCTGGTCAGATTCATGGATTTCACACCTGTATATCTCGTTGCCTTTAGGATCAGAGCACATCAGCACATCTGAGGTGTGGTTCGCTGGTATCTTCAACTCACAGCTAATGTTGAGATGTTCGCCCACAAAGGCCACAAAGACTCGGCCCTTCAGGCTGAGTTCTGTGAGGGGACACAACATAGAGGTTAATATTAGAGCTAGAGTGATTAGTTAATTAATCAGTCAGTCATTTATTAAGCAAAAACATCAAACATTCTCTGGTTCCAGCTTCCCAAATGTTCTCAAGTCTGTTTTTCTCTCTTTTATATCATTTTAAAATACGTCTTTTGGGTTTTGGTGCGACAAAAGAAAAATATTTAACACTTAACCTTGAGTTTTGGGAAACCTTGACACATTCTCCACTATATTTGGAAATTTATAGATGTAAAGAATACATAATATAAACAATAATAACATAACAAAACAATACATTGGTAATGGAAATAATAACTAGTTGTCTTTGGCTAAAAAAACTAAATCAAAGAGGTACATTAGTTTTTGTCACCCTTTCAAGTACAGTGTCAAAATATAGTCTGAGAGGTTTACCTGTTGCGCCTGATCCAGAGCATAAAGAGGGGAAGACAAAGACAGATATCCAGGTGGAGATTAACGAAAGATGCCAAACTTGTTGCGCTCCCATGTTGCGATCTTTGAGGTTTGTGCAAAGATGTTTCTATTTTAACCTTCTTTTTCGTTGAGGTTGTTCCACAAATCTATTCAGTGTTTCAGTTTGTCTTGGTACATAAACTGCAGTGTTGAGTTTCCTGTTTCTGGCTAAACCACTTCCTCAAAATGTTCTCTTTTTCTGGACACTGACTCACTGGGGACACTAAAGAGACCAGAGCACTAATGAAAAGAGCCATTACAACTTGATGCATGATATTTCACATTAAAGTCTGAGAGCACTGCACACCAAAAGGATATGGATAAGATAAGGATAAGCATAGAAATAATATTATACATTATTATGTTATTATGTATGTTATGTTATTCTAACTTGCTTGGTATTGTCTTAAGATTTCTACTTGCATTATTCTGTTACGTCAGCCTCTGGATGTGCAATGCTGGCTTTCCTCCACAGTGAGACGGTGTTGGAGAAATTACAAGTGTGAGCCGTGATCACACACCTCGTCATGTGTTTTTTTAAGAGACAGAAGAAGCGAAAGACTCAAGATTGGAGGGAGAAATACGGTGTGTGAGTGTGTGTGTGAGAATAAGGAGAGAGAGCGAAAGAGAGAGAGAGAAGCTGGAATTCAGCTGAAGGTGACAAACTGCCTGTTACTAATGTGAACCAGCTGCGGCTGATGTCAGTGACTTCTTCACTCTCTGTTGAATCACTTTCTGAGGCTGCCAGGAGAGGTGTGCAGATGCTGAAGTGCAGCGGTTATTATTGTCATTTAACCCCATTTGTTTGTCTGTTTTTCTTTCCTCTCTACACTTGACTCTTTCACCATTTTCTGTCTTGGCTGCATTAGCGGCCAACTCTGACCTCATCTCAGCCACAGCATGAAAACAGACACAGAAAGCTGGAATAACATCTGGATGCCAGTCAATAAAGAATAATTCATTCCATTTCATCTCACATCTCCTGCGCTCCTTATCTCCCCTCTTTCCTGAGCAGTAAAGTCTACAAATCCTTTACTTTATACAAACATTGGTGGATTAGCACTAAGGTTGAAAAAAGTACAACATAAAAGAACAGTCCTCCTGAATGCACACGCAGATTTTAACATATCTGATGTTTGAATCTGAGACAGGTAACACTGATTTTTTTAAACCACACTGACTGGAAAGACTGTCAGTGTTGCATATTGAATATTATTTGCTTTAAAACATTGTGGATGAAATGTTCAATATCCCCTGATGTTAAAAGTCTGGAATTAGGAACTTTACTTTAGTTCTCAGCTACAATTCTAAGAAACTTTACTGAAGTATTTCCATTTTCTGCTACTCTATGCTTCTACTCCACTACATCTCACAGGGAAATATTAAACTTTTGTTTACTAAATTATCTACTATAAAGTTATATTTTAAATTAAAAGTTAAATTGTATGTGTATATATGATTTGATATGATATAATAGGATATGAGTGTACAGATTAACATATGATTTGTACTGATTAAGATTCAACAGAAGTTTGTGATCGAGGGACTGGTGGTGGTGGCTGCTGACTGCTGAGGCCGATGAGGCTGATGAATCCGTAAGACTAGTTGGTGATGGGGAGGTGAAAAGTGCACAGGACAGCAGCAAGAAAGAACTATGGCAGAGAAAGAGCCTTATTTAAAATGAGGAACAGTAACGTGACTGAGATGGCAGACAGAGAAGTTGTGTTGCTGTGCTATTGTTTGATTGTAAATCAGCTGATGACTCAACTGACCTACCTGGATAATGACACCTAGAGATAGTGAGTGAGCAGGGTGAGAAAGAAACTGACAGCCTGAGAAAGAAAAGTACTGTCTTCCTGCCTGAGCTTTCGCCAGAGCCTCATTTGTTGCTGCCAATCAAAACATGAAAGTAGCAAGGGACTTTTATTTTATTTTGATGACCTGCTAGAACGCAGCTCATAGATGTAATAATGCCTCCAGTAAACAGGGTTGCAATCTGCCGTAAACCGAAGATGAGGCAACTGTGCACAACTGAAGGAGGAAGTATGCAACATTCCACAATAAACTGATGCAGAAAAGGCACAAACTGGTGCGTAAAAATTCACCACAGTGTAACAAAGCTTACACCCTTGCCCCAAAGTATATAAAGCAATTAAAAGTAGCGTCACCTCAGCCTCCTACAACTTTAGGCAAGGCAAGGTAAGGCAAATGTATTTATACAGCACAGGTAATACCAAAGTACTTTACAGATTAGTCAAGGCAAAGATCATTGTAGCCCAATCACAAAGCATGCCCCAAAGGGCTGTATAGATAGTAATTCCAATTCAATTTTAATTTTAATTTGATTATTAGGTCCAATATCACAAATCACTATTAGCCTTTAAGTCATTCTACAGCTAACAAATATTTCATCAGTGATTATTCTGCTTATTACTTTTCACTTTTTACTACTTTTCATTCTTCAAATGTCATTTTGTCCGTCCGAAAACTAGTTCAAAAACCAAAAATATTCATTTTACTGTGTTGTAGGAGCATGAAGAGAAGGTCATTCTTACATTTTGCTAGAAAAATATATCAGTGATTAAAAATGTATTTTCTGTTGATCAATCAATTGATGGAGTTCTACATTTAAGTTTAGCTTACTTGTTAATGCATCAATGATGTCGATCCAGAAACATAATACTTGAACACTCACAGATTATCCCTACTGACTGCTTTTACTTATGGTACTGTGAATACATTTTATTAATCCATGTCTATTTTTTTTTTTTTAACTTGAAAGTGAGTATTTTTACATGTGTTACAGTTATGGTACTTTTACTTGAACAACCATTCAGAATACTTCTAAAGTGTTGAAAATGAAAATCCTCAAACGTCCTTTCAGTGTGTATATGCTGTAGATTTTATTCTTATAATTTTTACTGATTTAATCAGCACTTTATTGCTGTAGCTGGTGGAAGCGGAGTACTTTATAAATGCTAGGGTAGAGCAATATATAAAAATGCATCAGTTTGTATGGGAATCTTAACCAGAATACCTACAGCTGTCAGATAAATGTGGTGAAGTGAAAGTGTTGAGGAGCAGGAAATAGTAACACGAAGTAAAGTAAAGAAAAACTTCTTGCTCTCCTAAACACAGTGAGTCGAGGGTAAATACTCTCAACTGCTTGGTCCTCAGATTTGAATAATTATCTTTCTGCATTCTTTAACCAGGCAGAATTTAAGAAATATGTCTCTGAGGTGTGTTGGGGCTGCGAGCTGCTTTTGTGGGGGTAAAGGCCAAACGGTGAGAAGCAGAGAGAGATGAAAAAGGGCTATAACTCAAGTTTCAAGCAGAAACTGGATCCTGCAGCAGAGTGAGATCGCAGCTTCGGACACATATACCTGTCTGTTCCACGGAGTGGTGAAGAGGAGGAGACTTAAATTATGAGAATTAACTGAAACACGAGGACGTTCTGCACATCTGGCAACAACTGGATGTCATAGTGTGTCAGAGAGAGAGAGAGTAGGAGTTGGGGCGTGTGTTGGAGTGTAAAGATACGACAGCTTTCCACGAATACGGAGTCTTTAAACTCAGCACTGGACCTGCCACACTCTCTTCCTAATTATATTACAGCTGCAAGGCAAGGGTGGAGAGAGCATCAGAGAAAGTAGGAGAGAGTGAGGGGGGAGAAGAAATAAGGAGAAAAGAGCGGGGCAGTGGCACAGAGTGGAGAGGCGAGAGAAGAATCTGGTATTCAAACTAGATCGGAGAAGGACTTCCTGCTGACAACTGAAGCATCATCATCATTTCAAAGTCGTGAGTATCGGCTCATTTGCTCTCTTTTTCCCGCCTGTGATGCTTCTACCACTGAACTGTTGGTCCGCAGAGATAAGACATGGAGTTATTTCATCACAAACAACTCTCATCATAGTGAAGGGACACTGGTTCATGGCTTGATTGTTTGATGTGTTTGTCCAGATGTGAAACAAGCTGTATCAGATTACAGTTCGGCTAATTTTCACTGTGCCTTTGATCAGCCTCCAAATTCATATTCCCTGAAAACATTTATAATACCTCAGCAATGAGTCATCGGCTTATTATTGTCCAGTGTGATTCACGGACTTTGTCATATGGATGCAATCCCGCTGTTTCTTTTTTCTCCTCTTTTCTGGGTCGCCTGCCTTCACCTCCTCTCTTGTTTTTCCTCTCGCACCTGGAGTCACAGGATTAGAGTAAAGATTTGAGAACTTCCTTTGTTTTGTCAGATTGGACTGCAGTCTTTAACTTCTCATAACATCTGTCACAGGACAAAAAGGCAGCTTTCTTCAGGCCTTTAACTAAAGTGAGTGGATTTTGAAAGGATTTTTTAAAGACTAGTGCACTTTTATAGATTTATGGATGCCTTTATAGTTCAAAGAACCTCACTACCTGCGCAGGGACAATCTCACAGTGGTAGAACAACCATTCAAAAGGGAAATAATACCACAGTGATGCATGTAAAAGTTACCTACAGAAGTAAGAGCAGCAAAATGTAGTTAAGTGTCAGCTGCACAGCTCTTTTATTTGAATTCAGATTGTGCATATTTAATACTTGATTTTTGCATCATGTGTTTTTTGTAATTTTCTCTTACCATGTTTTTTTTTATGCAGAGTAACACTAAAACTAATTTATTGTTTATGAAAACCTGGCAATAAACTGGATTCTGATTCTCAAACGTTTAAGTATGATAAAGATTGGCCTATTCCAGAGCGCTATCCTATTACATATTCACTAATGTGTTAACAATCGGCTGTTTTAATGTTGTAGTTGGGAAAACTGGAGAAAATCTATTCAGCCATAAAAATGCATGATATTACATAGACTGATTATTTTTATGACACATTTTGTGTGTAAAATCTTTATCTGCAGAGTAATTCTAGTTGTCAGACAGGCCTAAATATAGTAGAGTGTAAAGTATAAAGTAGCAGAGAATGGAAAAGTATAAGTATATCAAAACTGTAGTTAAGTAAATGTACTTACCTATGCGTTTTCCATTACTGGATACAGATGTGTGTGCACATCTGCTGACTCTTTCCTGGCTGGTGCTCATGGAACCTGTCTGTGTTTGATCACTTCTTTTATTTCTTTCGTTTGTGTTCGTTCCGTCTGCATTAAAAGGAAAAACAACTTTATCTGTTTATTTTTAACAGATGATACATACGTTTTGAGGTTTTCTCTCTCTCTTTTTTTTTTAAGAAAAAGGGGGGGAGTGTCTGTCTGCTCATTATGGCCCCTCCCTCTCTGTTGATGCTGCTGATGGTGGTTACCATGGCAACTGGGGCCCGTTCAGCCAGCGAGGAGAATGAACTGGATTATGGGTACTGGAACTATAGAGAGGGAGGTAAATCGCCATTTGATGTCTTAACGTTATAGAGACACGAGTCCTGATAATCACTGAGTGACAAAATGTTTGAAGCTGTGAATTCTGAAAAGAATTTCTTGGTGAACTGAATGAAAAGCAGAAATTTAAGAAACTCTACAGAGATGAGATAAATATTTGGATCTTAAAGTGATTAGAACACATGTGCCTGTAAAATTCATGATTCATTCAGGCTGTTTTCTTTAAATCGAGGCCTGATGGTGGGATGTTTTGGTTTCAGCTGATAGTGTGAATGTAGCCTCAGTGCGCAGCGTCACCAGAGTTTTAGACGCCTGGGGAAAACGCATCTTCCGTGAGATCAAGACTTTACTGCACTCTCAGCCCAGCACACTGCTGCCTGACTATTCCAGGTACCTTTAACACCTCTATCACCCTCTAATGTGCTGTCTGAGCTGCCGAGTGATGTATTCTGCTCCATCACTTCTTTAAAGGTCCAGTGTGCAGGATTTAGGGGGAAATACTGATGGAAATAGAATATAATAAGTACATTATCTTTAGTTTATAATCACCTAAAAAACTTTCTACCGTGGCCCAGAACAGACAAACCAAACAATGCCTCTAGACAGATTTGCATTTTTTCATTGGCCACTGATTTTTTTCATGTGAAACTGCTTTATTCAGTATTCTTAAACTTTAAATCACTGGGTCCATTTGTTTTGGAGAGGAAAAGACCTCTGTGGAGGTTTTTACCAGGGGCTAAATTATCCACATGACCTGAACAATGAACACTTAAGGAATTCTTACTGGGAGATGTTTCACCAGGTTACAATCTGCAATTCTCACTGCTAGACGTCAGTAAATCTCCCTAAATCTCACACAGTGGAGCTTTAACTGGCACACCACGATCAACAGTCTGTCATATTTTACCAGTGGTACTGTAAGTGACATGCAGGGCTGAAACTACTTTTGACCATAACTGTACTGTAGACTTTGAGGGGAATTTTCAACATGTGTATTTGTCCCCCTCACCCCAACAAAAAACAGACACAGTATAAAATAATGGATGACATAGCCATGGTGACATCACCCATTGGTTTGAAGACACAAGTTTTTGGCCGTTGCCATCTTGGATTATTGGAACCACCCACCTCTGACCATAGACATATATACATAGACGCCGCATCGAGTGCCTGAGAGCGTCCTCGCCGGCCGCCATCTTGGATGGGTCTCGCTTCGCCTCCACAATGCATTCACTTCTATTGAGGAAGGAGCTGTATGCACAAGTAAAATAGAATAACTCACTGAATTTTCAACTGATTTTCACGCGGTTTGGTTTGTTACAAACAGCACACATGTAGTTATGATACAGGATGCTTTTGTACATTAAAAATGCGGGATTTCATGCTTTAATACTTTCTGCAGATAGCAACAGCATGTTATTTAG